ACACATTGTACCCATGAGGGGAATCGAACCCGGGTCTTCGGCGTGACGAGCGGACGCTTTAACCCTATTGCCTCACGTTTTCTTGAAATGGCTTATAGTATCTCTGTATACAAATATGACGAAAACACTCATGTCGTTATAGTGAGTGGTGTATGGTACACACCAGTAAAACGTGTATCGCACTGTATACACATACGACACATTACACAAAATAATGTTAAAACATATTTCATTTACAAAATGAAAAGACCCCAGTGTATTCCACGATTCTGACTGTCTGACGTAGAATAGGAAATGGAGGTTATCTTTTGACAACTGTAAAAAGGATTTGCGATCCGGAACTACAACCTCAAAAACAGATTTATCGCGTGATCTCGCGTCATTGCAGCAACTTGCAACTGTTGAAACAATGTCTAAATATAGTGAGTGGGTATGGTTTTACGCCGCTTTTAGCAATATTCCAGCAATATCACAGAGGGGGACGCCTGAAATGGGCTTCACACATTGTACCCATGTGGTGAATCGAACCCGGGTCTTCGGCATGACGAGCCAACACTTTAACCACTAGGCTACCCCACCGAACCAGCTTAAAGGAGACTGTTAAGTAAAGAAGTGAATCAGGTTCTCAGCCCCAGAAGAATGGGCTGTTTTGTTTCCCCGATCAGCTCGGTTGTTGGAATTAATCTGTAAAAAATCCCGTAACAGCATATACATATTCAGGAAATGTAATGATTCTTTGCAACAGCAGATGGCACAACGATAAACCATCAACATCTACTGGTAGTCTAGATCACGGATTTTGTGCAGCCTTCTGATAAATGTAAATTGGCACGGCCCACAAGGACCCACGAAAGCTATGCATTTACAATGCCATTTAGAGAGTGGTCAAGTATAACACATGTTATGTTTGAGATTACACTTCCTCAGTAAAGTACAGATAAAACTTTTGTTGGGTTGAGTCCCGTCCGGGATTCGAACCAACACCCTCAGAGTCAGGCACCTAATCGCCAGTACACAAAGTCAGCGATCTATATATTGATTTGGTACAGGTCCTAGGCTTTGGCTGAAGGATTATGCAGACCAGGGTGCCGTTGTACAAAACAACCTTAGCGCTAAGGTTACCTTAAGTCTATGTTAGGGTATGGGAGTTACGGTCACCTTAGCAGAAAGATCGCTTTGTACAACGGTACCCCGAGTGTATAGTTCCTTCAAGAGTTGAAGGGAATTCTAGCTGTGTGTTTCATTCGAATAGTTGTATTTACGCTTCGATGAAATCATGCACTTGCTGTTTCTTCTACAGAAACTTTTACTGTCAGTTAGACCTTGCATAAATGTTCCTGAACTTGCGAACCCCAGCGGCTCGGATGTCTTTCATCCAGATCTTCAACGATGCCGCTCTGGTGGGTTTATGGTTACTCTGTGTTTCTATATATTCCATGATATATGATCGGTTGGAGTCGGATGCTGACCGGTTCTCTCCATCACCATACCGTGGAGACCTGTGTGAGTTCTACCATTTCAATGGAAGTATCCCTTTCATGCATTTTGAGACCGTTCTCAAAACGTCTTTGGAACATATAGTGTGACCAGAAATTTTTGAGAATTTTAGGAATATGTTTAATTGGATTTCTAGTATAAACAACCTTGACCAGCTATCAAGTGCTTGGTTTCATTCAAGAGAGACAACTCCGTTAATCCTTTTTCATTAGTTTGTGAAGAGTTATCCCCATTTGTTTACTTGCAAGCAGAAGACATTTTCAGTGATCCTCAGTATGGATGATTTAGAGAAGAGGAAGTTGATTTTAGAGTATTATAACAAGGACATCAGATCAGCTGAAGTGATTTCAAGTCGAACAGGCATCCCTTTGTCCACGGTTTATCATGTTTTGAAAAATATTGCAAATGGATATGGCATTGATCACCTGATAGGCGCTGGTAGGCCCAGAAAATTGACTGTCGGTGACAGGAGGCGGCTTGGTATTCTTGTTTCTAAAAACAAACGAAGGAGTTTAGAAAACTGAAGGCTGGATATGATTGATAGAGGAACTGTGGCTGTCTGTAAGGAGACAATTAGAACTGAGCTGCATGCAATGGGTTGGCAGAAAAGTCGAGGAATTCCATCACCGATCATGAAACCTGAACAAAAGGAGCGAAGGTTGAACTGGTGCTTACAGCATAGAAATTTTAACTGGGACAATGTGATTTTCTCAGATGAAAGTTGGGTGTGAAATTTAACGTGTGGGGTGGCACGTCTGTGTCAGGGGCAACGCCCCTCTGTGTATTTGAAGGGAATATGAACCGTGAGCGGTACACAGATATTCTCGAGGGACATTTACTTCTGCTCACGTGTTCTATGGAAATTTTGGATTTTCCAGCAGGACAACGACCCAAAACATCGTTCAAAGCATTCACAGGCCACAAATATGACATTATTAGATTGGCCAAGCTATAACCCTGACCTAAATCCAATAGAACATGTTTGGGGACTTATGAAGGAACGTGTCAATAAGAAAAAATCTGACAAATATTGCTGAAATGAAAGAAGAGGTGGTCCGATATTGGGACAGCATGGACCACGACTTTCTAACTTCTTTGATCAGTAGTATGCCCCGCCGCATTGAAGCGTGCATTGCTGCCCATGGTGACTTGACAAAACACTAATTGTTCACCTGTCTTTGAATCTGGAGTTATGTTCTGCTAATATTCACATTTAATACGTGAATGAGTGAAAAAAACAAAATTACAATCTTTATATTCTCAATAATTTCTGGTTGTACTGTACATGTTTCGCAACACCTCGTAATATTCAAAAGTAATAAATCATCACACTTTACATTGGTTGGTCATACAATTACTACAGTACTATACCTTTTGCAAAAGATGGGTGGAACTGGAATCACAGCACCACCACCTTGTTGTGTCTTGCCTTAAAAACACAAACTGTGGTTGGTTGGTTTCTTGCTAACGCCGCACTCAGCAATATTCCAGCCCGTAAATAAATGAGTCTGGACCAGACAATCCAGTGATCAACATCATGAGCATCGTTCTACGCAATTGGGATACGATGACATGTGTCAACCAAGTCAGCGACCTTGACCACCCGATCCCGTTAGTCGCCTCTTACGACAAGCATGGTTTGCTGAAGACCAATTCTAACCCGGATCTTCACGGGTGAAATACAAACTGTGAATGGGTACAGGCTGTTTCACAATAACCGTGTCTTGTGATTTACAAGACTGATTACTTTCCCAACCAATTTATTTCAGTGGTCATTTTCGAAACGCCTTATATTTGGATACATTTAATCATGTCATTTGCCAACTACGGTTCCATCAGTGATGAAATATCTGTGACTCACTGATATAAAATGCCTCAATATCAAACATAATTATATAATGTCTACAGTGATAAGCATTCAGAAATACTTTCAGTGACTGATGAATAATGTACGGATATTTACATTACACAGACGTTTGCCACTGTCATTATCTCCATATCTAATTCTAAAGTATTCAAAATAATTGATTTTCAGTTATTTACATAATTTTCACGACATATACTATGCCCAACTGAATCTGTTTGGACGGATAATCGACTATTCACAATCATGCTGTTGATCACTGGATTGTCTGGTCCAGACTAGATCATGTACAGACCGCAGCCATGTATCTGGAATATTGCTGAGTGCGGCGTTAAACAACAAACAAAAGTTATTCACTGGCGCTGATATTCTACATTTAAAATTAATGAATATTTTCTAATTTTTTTTTATCAATTATAGTTGCTGAACATACAATTATTTAGTTATTGTTTTACAAGAGAAGATATTTTTTCCGTGTACAATTACTATAAAGACTACTACATTTTCTCTGTGTGAGAAAACAAATGCTCTGTCAACATCCGGGCATCCTTCTGTGGCATCTATTTATGGTATTGATACAGCTGCCCGACACAGGCGTTTATCCTGTTGTGAACACAAACATAATATTGTGTGGGCTCACTGGGTGGGAGTGAGTGAGTATTGTGTTACGCCGCTTTTAAAAATATTCCAGAAATATCACCGCGGCGAACAACGGGCTTCACACATTATACCCATGGTCTAATTATACCCATAACCCGGGTCTTCGGCGTGACGAGCCATTGCTTAGGCCACCCCACCGCCCCGACTGGGTGGGACATACAACCCCTGTGTGAGAAGACAGAGTCCAGCGAGGCCCTTATGTCCGTTTTGAAAATTGGAAGGTACCCACCGCGGCTTCCAGTGGAGTAGGCTAGATGGCTGACTCTATGTGCTGGCGATTAGGTGCTTGACTCTGAGAGTGTGGGTTCGAATCCCGGTGGAACTCAACCCCCAAAAAGATACTAGAATCTGTACTTTACTGAGAAAGTGTGATCCCAAATATAACATATGACATATGCTACATTTGACCAATTTTTAAATGGCATTGTGTATTCATAAAAAAAAAATATTCCTCGGGATAAACGTTTTGTGATGGACGTAATTTAGCATGATACAAAGCATGAAATACTCTTTCACTATCCAGCTATCACAGGCTATAATGAAAATAGTTCCCAGAACGGGTGTATTGACACTATCGTGTCATGTCTAATATTGCTTTTGTTAACCGGTCTGAAATTATTTCAATGCAACGCCCGAGTGACGTGTAACGTCCATTCAGACCTCTTCAATATCCCTGTACCGCAATGCGATGCAGTCAATTGAATTTCATACAGTGAGAGTACACACCCTTGTTGTACCCACTCATACTAAACTGTCGTTGATTTGCTATACCGCGTCGAACCGATTACACCTACAGCCTAAAGAGAACCCCGTTATAGCGGGGTACTTGTACATAAATGTATTGAAACACGTTGAGTCATTAGTGAGTGGGCATACACAGCAGTATTCTCGTGTAGTATAGATCCTGGTTCTAGGTCCTATTCAACGTGGACCAGCCACTTCCTCGTCAGCAATACTGCTACGTCATTGGCTATAGATAGACATGAATGGGTTTTTCCACTCACTTCCCGGTAAACATAGATCGGGTTGGCTGCAGGAATTTCTGAGAATTACGTGTGTGTGAGTTGGCTTCACATAACCAATAATAACACGTGACGAGGTCAGTTGACTGCGATCTTGATTCTAAACATAGGGACAAACAATCAGGATACATGGCGTCGCGTTGTGTACTGTGTCACAGGTTTTCATTTACTACGGATATACCTCACGCATTGGATTGGGATATTTCGACCCAGTTCGCACCCGTTTTGTTTTAGCCAGGTAGGTACTGTTCACGGTTACATATTGAGGAGAGGAGAGTGTAGAAGGGTGGGGTCAGGGTTATCATGACGGAGTTATTTTTGTCAGCGTTAACTGATATCACACGGGATGTTTAACTGAGAATGGCGAATAGGCCTACCCAGTATGTGTTTCACCTTATCAACACCTGTATTAGTAATTTACGTTTTCAGGGAACATTACAATGGCTTTTGTTCAGGAATGATTTAAAATAAACTAGTAAATCCGATTTATCCGACAGAAAACTACAATATTCTAAATCTAGAAAATCAGCAGTATGAATAGTAACAAGATAGGTTCAATCAGGGCGTGGCGTCTTGTATCGAAGCGTAAATGTCAGCCTGACCTTAACACGGTCTTTGTATTAGGGTACAAACTTAAACCAGTTTTACCCATCAAAGTATGGTAAACTATATTCATGTCATTTAGGTGATCATATGTGTGACAACCACTTAGGGAGGATTTCGACATAGGCAGTAACTCATGCATATTCATATTGTTCATCCAACAACCCTGGGTTTGTCCTTATGGTAGTGTCTCGTCCATGATTCATCATATATAGATATCATATGTCTGTTTAAAGTATTACGTATCTTTCCATTAAATTTGGACGGCTTCAAATGAAGAGTTAAAATTTTATTCTTTCTCTGAAATATTGATTTCCTGGTCAGATATACATGTACCTATATTTTTATCACCTGATACTAGTATTCACGTGCATTAACAGATCCTCCTTTGATGTCCAAGATATTTTTATGGATTAAACTTCTTTTTTAATTTCTCTCACGACGTTTCGAGACCATTCCAGGTCCCTTCATCAGGTGAACTGGCAGTTAGGACTATGACGTCGTCACTATGATATACACAACAACTGCTAATTACACAAAGGTTACTTGATAGCAGACTTTCCAAAAAGAATAGTAGACTCGTTTTTTCTTTTATCTAAAGTTCATTCGACTAGTAGAAAACGAGTCTACTATTCTTTTTGGAAAGTCTGCTATCAAGTAACCTTTGTGTAATTAGCAGTTGTTGTGTATTGACAATTCAACTTTCAACTCTATTATTTAGCATGAATTTTCATCATTATGTAATTAACTCTTCAAACTCACTTATACAGTACTCTCCCTAGTGTACTGTGATGTCACTTGCATTGTGACGTCATAACTCAGTTATGACGTCATAGTGACGACGTCATAGTTCAACTGCCAGTTCACCTGATGAAGGGACCTGGAATGGTCTCGAAACGTCGTGAGAGAAATTAAAAAAGAAGTTTAATCCATAAAAATATCTTGGACATCAATGTACAACTTCTAAATGCCACTGAAAGACATCAGATCCTCCTTTGCCAGTCAAATCGCCCTCCCACATCAGCTGACACATCCTCGTGTAACTAGAATGCATTTTATAGAGGCGTTCACCCGTGAAGATCCGGGTCTTCAGCAACATAGGCTTGATGTAAGAGGCGACTAACGGGATCGGGTGTTAAACAACAGACAAACAAAACAAACGTCAACTCACTAGAACTAGACGCTGTAAATAACGCCATATATGAAATTCATACATGCTCCGTCTGTAGTGAATGTCCCTGTTTATCGATATATTGACTTACATGATAAAATCGGAGGTGCGGGGAAGTATGGGAATTACCTTTTTAAAACTTACTGTTGGACTGAATTTTGTTCACGTACAATCACTTTCAAAGGAAATCCCGTTTGGTATTATGTAAGATTGAAGAAAATGCTTCCTCCTAAAGAAAACCTCGGAGAATAAACTCTTATTATCGGGTTATTGGAGGGTGTATATATACCAGGGCCCTTATTATCGAAACGTACGTAGCCCTAAGAATTCTTAACTTTGATCGTAGCCAATGTGTTAAGAATGGGCTTAAGAAGTTCGTTGGGCTTCGAACATTTCGAGAATAGCTAGCCCGATGATAAAAGCAATAGTTGTAGGGAAGTCTCGAGTTCAGTTACACAACAGCTGTAGTGATGTCTGTGGTTTTACCTTCTTTTTGTGAAGAGGGAGTACACTTTAACAACCTGGCAAATCCGCTTTACAGTATTACTGGTAGGGACATATAAATGCGACTCAAACCGTGAAACAAACGGTAAAACACCTGAAGGAAATGTAATCTAATCACAACCTTGAGGAACAGGTTAACCTTGATGTTTCCAACCTCTAGCAATAGCTTGACACCGCATGCATACTCAGTATGCTATCTGGCATTGTTGTTACAGAGAACATTTTCTTGGTGATCTACTTGATTATATTTAAAAAACAAGAAACACGTTGTTTACAATGCAAGATTGCAATTTAAACCGTATTAATTATACCGTTATGCAAATTGAAAGTTAAAAAGAACACATGCGACATGGCTGAACCAAATTTTCTTACCCTTTTTACATGGCTAAATATGTGTTTAAAATTCAATGAAAGCTAAATTGTAAACCTACTTCATGATAGAACACTTAGATGTGTATTTGGGGAACTGTAGTCAGGGCTTCTTGCGAAATGTCCCATTAGCTGTCTGGACTGCGTTGGCAAAGGCCCTGATCTGATAAAGAGCCAAACCAGCCTGACTGTGTCCCCCGAACCCGAACTGTATGTATTCATATTACTCTTAGAGAATATAAGACAGAATGTCAAATACTCAACCCGAGGTGAAGTTTTTCCAAGGGACATCTATAGAAACCCCGCCTTCGTAACATTTTTAGATTCTACGATTCGTTTTAATCTAAATCCAAAAATTATTTAGATTAACAAATACAATAACAAACAACAACGTACACATGCAGATGACTTTAACTATAGTCCGTTTGCTACAAAATAATACCGATAAAATGGCAATGTGTAAAGACATTGGGGACAAGTGCATTGACAAAGTTGAGACCGAAGTCGAAGCTTCAGATTCGGAAAAGTTGGTATTTCAGTTGACAGTGACAGTGATAATGAAAATATTTCAGAAAAGTTTTTAGAATCTCCATGTTCCGCGATAGCCTTTAGCTGTTCTGTTTATAGAGCACACTCCCTTGTTACGGCAGTCATTGAAACACCAACAATTACAAGATCGTTTGTTGTTTCAACTTTTTACCTCCTCTGTTCCAATGTCTGAAATTGTAGTTACAAGTTGTTATGGACAAATGAATAGCTGTATGACGATATATTGCATTTGAATGTGTGTATATATTTGCCAATTTGCCATTTCATCGGGACGATTTTGGAGCAAACATACTGTAAATTCATCAAGACATTACCCCATACATATTTGCATGTACACACACGCACACACAGTGTCTCTCACTCACTCACACACACACACACACACTCTCTCTCTCTCTCACACAAACACACACACACACACACACACACACACACACACACACACACACACACACACACACACACACACACACACACACACACACACACACACACACACACACACACATACATAGGGTGCCATATGAACCCATATCTGAGTTTGGAAATCCTGAGGAATACATTCTCCGATTCCCCGGGAATATTCTCTTCACAGTATCCGCGGATCAATGCATAGCTGCAATGTACGTACATACACGACACAATGGCTGTATAGAGAAAGTAGAAATCATGACGTGTACACCAACTGTTATCAGTACAGCCATCTTTGTGCAATCACAATGTACATATTCTTGAGAATATCAGTCGCAAATGGGGGTGGTTAGACTAACGCTCAGTCTCTGAATATATATAATATTGAAAGTAACAAATAAACCCATATAAATTGAAAAGGAGCTCGAGGGAGATCAGAGATTCAGAACCTGGAGAAATGTGGACTTGCTTCATTTAGGGCTTTAGCATTGCAGGGAGGGCTAGGCTGTAGGGGAAATAATATGGTTCAGGGACTGTGAGACAGACTAAGGAGTGGCCTGTGGTTTGTGAAAGGGAAAACCTGAGGCAGTGGAATGAGGGGGGCAGGGGGGATCAGATGTCAGTTCCAGACGTCTGTCTGCGGCCATGTCTATGGTAACAATTATAATTACTAATGTCTGCTATTGCGCAGTTAGACATACGATCAGGTCCTATTTCTAGACGAGAAGGACCGACACTGCCTTCCTGCTGCATTGCGTGATAAGCAACGAGGAATAGAATCGCTTGAATTTCAGAGCTATTGAATGGGGAACGTTACGCTTGAATAAATATCAAGTACAGTTATTAAGAGGGGATAAATTGCTTGGATATTTAGTGTAAGATGGAAGAGGGAAATATAGATGTTCCAATATATAGTAAAGTGAGGAATATTAAGTTTGTACACATAATAGGTACAATTATAAAGAGTGAGTGAGTGAGTGAGTGAGTTTAGTTTTACGCCGTACTGAGCAATATTCCAGCTATATGGCGGCGGTCTGTAAATAATCGAGTCTGGACCAGACAATCCACTGATCAACAACATGAACATCGATCTGCGCAATTGGGAACCGAGGACATGTGTCAACCAAGTTAGCGAGACTTAACACCCGATCCCGTTACTCTTACGACAAGCATGGGTTACTGTGGGCCAATATTCTAACCCGGACCTTCACGGGTCTATTATAAAGAGCGGAATATTAAGCTTTAATAAACTTCAAGTACAATTATAAAGAATGAAATATTAAGTTCGTACACAGATCAAATACAACAGTTATAAAGAATGGAATATTAAGCTTATATACATATTGACTAGAATTATAAAGAAGGGAATATAAGTACTGAATAATTATTAAAGTTTATTGAGTTTCAAGTAATATTACAAAAGTAAAATAAGTTGAATGCATACCAAGTACATTTACAAAGAGGGGAATATTAGGCTTGAATACATGGCAAGTACAGTTGTAAAGATGGAAATATTAAGCTTGAACACATTTCAAGTACAAGGTGTGTATAATGGTATTGATATTATGTACACGTATGACGACGTTATATACTGTTTCCCTATCAAGTCATTTAGAAACTACGAGAGGAATATACAGGTTTGAATTTCACGTACAATCAAAATAAGAGGAATATTAAGCGTGAATACAAGTGTAATGATACAGAGGGAGAGTTTAACGTCAATAGCAGGTACAATATTAAAGAGAGAACAGAAAAACTCGAGTACCATGTATACTAACATAGAAAGAATGGTACACTTACATATGAATAATCTAATTAATGTTTACATATGAAGTGCGATTAGAATGAATATATGCGAAAATCTGAAGAGAATATTTAGGAGAGGTTAAGCTCGTTTGTGAAAAACGAAGTCCCGGGTATGGTGTAATTAGTGTAACTAAAGCGAATGTGGATTTCGAATTCACAACCAGCGGAATCTAACAAGGTTAAGGGACATCTATATGGGTCATTGTTTTGTCATAGGAATATGACAGTGGTCTGTAAATAGCCGAGTCTGGACCAAACAATCCGGTGGCTGACATTACGTGTATCGATCTACTTAACAGGGGTTGGTTACTGTATTGAAGGCAGAAAAAAGCGTCGTCTATACTTCCTGGTTCCGTTGCTAGGTAACGATTGACCCGCCATTACTCTCACAAATGTAGACGTTGTAAAATGTCATAACTTGCCAATCAATTCAAGAATAACAATACACATACAAAACACATTCATATGTACAACATTGATTATAGTGAAACGACATGTCGGTGCGTTTACATCGTGTCAACATGACAATAAAACACGGACATGGAATATCATACTGGCGGGTATCAGCTGTTAAGATTGTCAGAGAACCTGAGCACCATTCCGGTGTGTTAACCTGTTAGGGAAGACAAAGGTACTAATTCAAGTAACTGTCGATGTGTAACTAAAAAGCGACAAAATCATTTCCATAAACCAAATAAAAGCCACAAAACCCTTTCCTCATCCATAAGAAATATCTGCTAAATTGTACAATTGTGAATATATCATGAACATATATTTGTTTCAGCAGCATTACAGCTGTATGATGTTGTTTGTAACCAAATCTGGTCTGAACCAGACAATCCAGTGATTTTCACCATGCGATACTATGACAGGGCATGTGTTTATGAATCAGTATGAAATAGTGATGGTACCAGGTGTTCGCGAAAAGGTGAGCGTATCCTGCCCCACCGGTGGCACCCATATCCTAAGTCTAGTCATCTGTTCACCTGAAATAATTCGGGAACATATGGTATAGGTCAAATAGGATATTGCATCCGACATCATTTTTGTTACTGAGCCATCAAATTTCGAAATGCCCTCCACATGTCTGCCATAAAACTTCTTGAAACCTTTACTGACGCCTTGAATGTTCTAACCTTGATCGGGGCGGTGGGGTAGCCTAGTGGTTAAAGCGTTGGCTCGTCACGCATATGACCCGGGTTCGAAACCCCACATCGGTCTCACTTGTCTCCTTAGTTTCAAGTTCAGGTGGGTAAATCAATGGAAGGCAATTGGCGATATGATGGCTTTTGAACGATATTAGAACATCTATGTACCGAAAGCGTAAGTCAAACTTCTTGACCAAATTACCTTGTTTTGATTTTACCAACCCAAGTAGAAATTCTGATTCATATGCATAAAGAAACATATCCGCAAGGATGGGAGCACAATTCGTACCCATGGGGATGCCTACTTCTTGGCGAAATTTGTACCCCCAAATTTCACAAAGATGTTATCAATGGGAAATTCCAGCATTTCACATATTGTTTTCTCGGTAAACTTCAAGTGACATTTGCTTTCATTTTTTTTACAAATTGGTCACGATCCTCTGAAGATAGATATGTACGAGGGTCGGTCAACAAGTCCTCGATCTCACCAAGAAAATGATACAAATGCAGCTGTTTTTATGTTGTTGTTTTGAACACATTATCTGTCAACCTCAAGCAAATTGGTTTTGCTATGTTCCAACCTCACGATCCCTATTTTGTTCGACTTTTTATCTTGGTACTTCCAAAAAACCAAAATCTGCAATAAATGCATCACAAACTGCAGGAAACAAAATATGAAAGAAACATTTTGTGTGTTTGGGATAGGTAGAAGTCCGCTAGAATCAAGCCTAGATATTTAAGTGCATTAAAAAGAATTTGAAAGTACAATCACTTGTTAAAGTTTCTCCCCTTCATGTTTACTGCAAGAGCTTGTATTGGAGAGCCACTACCACCCCCAACCCCCCTTTCAGAGGGTGGGCAATTTCATGACTAGTTTTGCTTTATTGCATATAAATGCCTGCGCCTAAATAAACAAACATCTGGGTCGAGCTTGTCAATGGTGTTATGTTATAAATCTATCACACCTAGGTCAGAATCATGTCAGTTAATACACATTCACTGTCATAACATGGTTAAGCCAAGGTTCATTTACATAGCTTCATTTCATCCTGGTGAGTATTATCTGAGTAAACATTCTGCCTTAAAAAACACCTTTTCATCATCTTTTGTAACCTTAAAACCGTGTCTAGCGAATATACCATCGAATCCCCGTGTCAAAGCTTAACCATAATCCTTCATACAAACAAGTAAGGACTTTTTTATAGTCACAAAAAGTATTTGAAACAAGTGGAATTTTTAACATGAGGATTCTCAAGATCTTAAAGGATTTGCCTGAAGTATTACAATCCCCGAAAAGACTGACTGACTGACTGAGTTTGGTTTTACGCCGCTTTTAGCAATATTCCAGCAACATCACGGCGGGGGAAACCGGAAATGGGCTTCACACATTGTACCCATGTGGGGATTCGAACCCGGGTCTTCAGCGTGACGAGCCAACGCTTTAACCATTAGGCTACCCCACCGCCCCATCCCCGAAAAGAACCAATTATGTTAAAAGCACTGCACCACTCAACAGGCTCAAGGAAACCTTCATTCCTAGACCCACGTGGCAGTCTTTTTTAAGTGGTGACCATCATAAGTTATAAATCCCCTTTTTAAAGGTTAGGGACATTTTCTTGAAAACTAGTTCAAAGTCGAACTAGATAATGAAGAGATCAGTCAACCCGCTCATATGTTAATCAATTCCAGCACATATATTCAGGTTTTGAAACTCATAATCATCCTTCACTATTTATTAAATTTTAATTTTGTTGAACACAATTATCTAACTGTGAACCATTCACGATGCGATGGTAGCTTGCGACGATTTCACATCTATGCTATGGGACTTAATACAAATTACTTGCTAAGAACGCCTAGATTTTCGAAGCTCTCCTAGTGTTAAGATGATCGTAAGTGCCATACATTAACATTAACTTACGACTTTCTTAGCTCTGAGAGAGCTCCGAAAATCTTGGCCCTGGGTCCCCGTTTCAGAAAGCTATCGTAGCGCTACGACTGTCGTAACTCCTATACCGTAACATAGACTTAAGACAGTGGTTGCGGTACGATTGCTTTCTGAAACGGGGCCCTGCTTAGAACTAGGATGGGCGCAACTCACATACTTACGAGTGTCGTAGAGTTACGATCGCTCTGTTGAACGGGACCAAGATATTTATTTGACAACTTGTTCACATCAGTGCAGGTTGTGATGAGCCATGGCCATGGACATCGTGAACCTGCCGAATTCGATCTCTCAGGAGGACCTGGAAATGCTGAGGACCTGGGTGGTGGAGAATCCTACCATCACTGAGTTTTTCCAGAACGAGGACTCACAGGCCTCGCAGGCCTCCCATGTTTCAGATGCTGAGGAGCTGTTCGGAACTCTCACCACCAGCATCTCAAAGTCGCCAAGATGTGACAATGTAAGTCCACCAATAGTGAGTGAGTGAGTGAGTTTGGTTTTACACTGCCTTTAGCATTATTCCAGCAATATCACGGCGGGGAACACCAGTAATGGGCTTCACACATTGTACTCATGTTGGTTATCGAACCCGGGTCTTCGGCGTGACGAGCGAACGCTTTAACCACTAGGTTATCCCACTGCCCCTCCACCAAAGTGACACCAAACATCGCAAGGTCCTTACGTCGATCTATGTTGACGTAAAGCAGTTGCCAATTACATCACCAATGTTGCTGAAAGAAAGCTTATGATCATCTAGGACCAGCACTAGTAGACAACAATTTTTTAATAATTTTAACATATTATAGTCTAAACAACGCACGCAAGCGCAAAAATCTCCAATATGTCTCAAAAATATTGTTGTGGCATTCTTACTGAAGGGCAACAATATGTCCTTGACCTTATTTTCGAGAAAGTGACCTCTTGTCCTCGATCAAGAAAACTCTTTCAGAACAATTCTTTACATATTCCAAGTGTTACGTATGATGTCCAACCAACAGGCCATGTGTGAACATACAATATGTAACCTTTAAGCTGGAAAGCAGATTTTAAAGCTTGAGAGTAGCTTCTTTAATCTGCATCACGTCACCTTCTGTTTTGCTGTTTCAAGGTGAACAGCCACGAATCTGTACGCCTGACGCGGGAGTCGAGCATCATGGGTAGACGCGGAACAGTTAGTGTCTACAACGCCGGGAACATCAAACTTGGTAACCTTAGACCGCCGCTGGATGAACCCATGACAACCATCTTAGATGACCGTGTAGCTAGAATTGAGGCGTAAGATACACTTGTCATATGGCATCGATTATTTTGAATTCCATTTTCTAATTCTATATGATATTAATGATGATAATAATAATAATAATAATATATTTTTATAGCGATTAGTATCCATCTTTCTAGTTGCTCACTGGCGCTGATTATTATTACCCCGGATAACCCAAGCTGCCTTTCAGGCGCTAGAAGGTTATAGTGACAGGAGTTATCCCACCGGGTACCCATCTCCTGCTGGGTGAACAGAGGCAGTTTTGAACAAACTAACTTGCCTAAGGTGAGATCACATGTATCACACGTGCTTCGTTGTGGCGCAGGACTGAAGTCCTAGAAACTCTCAGGAGTCCAAGCTACCAAACACGGTCACCCATCCAATGACTCTCCGCGCCCATCGTTACTTAACTTCAACTGATTTGTAGCCTGAGCTCTATGCACAGGACCACACACCGCCACATATAGACGATAAAAAAGTTTACTGCTGGATGCGTGGAATTGGTTAGATTGTCATTGTAGTGACTGAATATATGTATAATGCGTGCGATGTTCAGAAAGATGAAACACTATTTCACACGGACTTGCTGTCATTGATGTCACGAACCAGACAATACTACCACGGTGACAGTATCGACATGCTACAACTAATTACAAACAATGGCAGTCTTAAAGTATATATGTAAGTCATGAAGGTTATCATTATATGACCTTGACACTGATAACCTATATTTCTTCAGAGCTACCCTGGACGTGAGTGCTAGCTCTGACCAAGAGGTGCCACTTCAACTCACATTATATGGTACCACTGCTAACAGACTCCGATGTCAAAACATTCTTCAGGATGCCGAGGTAGATTTTGACGGAAAAACTGAATCGGCCTCTGACAGATCAACTTTAATTGACCTTACCAGGTCACCCGACATGTCCTTTGACAGGTCACCGGATACGACCTTTGACACGCTACCTGATGTAGCGTTTTACAGGTCACCTGAGTTACCGTTTGCACGGTTTCCGCAAACTTTCGACAGTACACCACCTACTCCATTTAACATTACACCCAGGCCACTCTTGTCCAGCTTACCCGTACCAGTATTAGACAACTGTTTACCCGGGACTTCCGGTGCCACGTTGCTTGGTTCAGCCCACGAAGAATTACCAGAACCATCTATTGGTAGTTTAAACCCGACAGTACTTAACAGCTTAGCTGAGATAGATTTTTCAAGCTCCACGGAGAGAGCCTTGGACAGTATAGCCCAAATAGACTTTGGTATTGAAGATCAAACCGAGCCAGTTGATCTCACAACACATGTGGGCCCTGGGGTCGAGGCTACAGACTCAACGAGGGAACAGATAGCATCTTGGTACACCAATTTCGAACCCAACCCGTATATAGCAGTGGACAGCCATCGAGAAATGGTAGCCCATGATGACGTAAGTTGACACTAAAATGTTTCGCTGGTAAAATTATTCACCTAATAACATAAAAACATTTGTTCTGATCATAAAACCAGGATTGATATCATGCTAAACAGATTTATTTTTCGTCGGCCACCAAAACAATATTTGCCCTGGTTAGGCAAATATAAGTTCACGAGTCTAAAGAGTATGACTTGATTTAACTTATATGATATTAGAATTTTTACAAAGTTTTGTTTCTCGGGAACAAGGTGCCTCTTTAAAATTACAAAGGTGCCTTTCAGAACCACCATGATGATCCGGGTTACAAGAGGTTTCGAGTACTCTATTGCTTGTCGTAATATGCCACTAGAGTGGTTGCTCGTCAGGTGTAGTTTGCACGGTTTACACGTTGGCGTTGCCTCTAATGGCAGCCACTGGGTTTGTCTGATTCAACTTATAAGCTGAACACAAATAATTCAAACTACTGTCATTTCTGATTATTCTTTCCTCCTCAGATTAACAGTGATATCGACCGCGTGTTTGAAAACCTCAATGAAGGTGACAAGACGTCAGAGCAGGAACCGGCAGAGGTGGGTACAGTAGGGGTGAAACGGTACGCTCTTACCACGGTACAGTACGTATTGCGGTACAACCTTCGGTTCGGTCCGTTTCGGTTCGGTATATGAGATATGATCATAATACAAAAAAGAACGAAAATGATTCAATTTCTAGACATTTTGAAAAAGGTTTAACAGGTTAATAAAATGACGGCACGAAAACCGAAAATACAAATTTTGGGGATTGCATTACGGTATACCTAACCGAAGGTAAAATTCCGTGGTTCTACTAATACCGCGGTATACCGTTTCACCCCTAGGGTACAGTATGTACAGTCATGTACAGTAACATACGGTTATAACGAACTCAAAGGGCCATGTACATGCCATGTATTGGACATATATTTGTCTTGTAAGGTCATGAATAGGCATGTGAAACAGTTCATATAGCGATATTCCACCAGAAAAGGTCTTCACACACTGTACCCATGTCGGGAATCAAACTCGGGTCACGAGCGACCGCTTTCATGACTAGGCTAGCCCACTGCCCCCGTCATGAATACATGTGTGACGAAGAGGCCCTGGACTGGCATGTCTCATGGATGGATACTGATAAATCATAGGTCATCATAGATCCGCCGACGATAATTAGCAGGCCTAGCATAGAACAGTGACTGGTCGCTTGGCAACATTGAAAGATGTAGATCGTACAAAGAGTCAGTTATCCATATATGTAACAATATATGGAGGCAATATCATACAATACGTCTTTAAAATTGTGAGGGAGGATTTCACTTACAGGCTTTTCACAGGCATTAACAGTATGTTTTTAAAACTTACGTCTGTATGAATAAACTAATTGTAAGACACAATTCCAGCCAGGTTATGATGACTGTAAGCCTCAATTGAAATATTGTTTCTGTGACATGCTAAACCTCTCCATGTGCCCCACCAGGCTGTGGGAACGCCCCTGTATCCCCACCAGAAGCAGGCTCTGTCCTGGATGATGAGTCGGGAGAATGGCGACCACCTGCCTCCTTTCTGTGTGGAGAAGGCCAACGGGGAATACCTCAACACATTGCTGAACTTCTCAACGCCAGAGAGACCACCCAGTATCAGGGGAGGTAGGTCTGAGGATAGACAAGATGATGGAAACAAGAACATCCAACACGTGTAACATTCCAAGGATCTATAAGCACCCATCATATGTAACCTCTTTACATTGATCCAAGAACATCTCATACATGTAACGTCGTTACATTGATCCAAGAAAATCCCATACATGTAACCTCAGTACAAGGATCCATGAACATCCAATACATGTAACCTAAGTACAAGGATCCAAGAACATCCCATACATTTAAATTACATTACACGTACCCAAGCACGTACATCCCATACATTTAACTTAACTTAAGGTTCATTGTTATCATTTACCAGTGATTGAGAAACGGTCGACCCCTATCCGGTTATGTATATGTTTATATAAATGTATGAGCACCTAAATGATTTCATCTGCCTGCAACCAGGCATTCTGGCTGATGATATGGGTCTGGGGAAGACTCTGGAGACGATCGCCCTGATACTCACCAACTTTGTCAACAACCGACCCCTGGCTGTTCCTGTTCCAGGCAAACCAAGGCGAGGGAAAGAAAATAAGGTGTGCAATCAGCGGTGACGCCTATATAAACATTCACTGTGAATCTGGTGGTTTTTGAAAATTTATTCCTAATTTCTATTGACCATTTGCATACATCTACCTGTTATAAAATCATCTTGTTCGATATGTATAATGAGGAATAGGGTGGCTTTCGAGTAACATCAGGAAGTCATATCACTATCACCACATCTCACTCGAGTGCTGTCCGATGTATTATGTGGACGGCGGAATCAGTCGATTGGATGTGAATACTTGTTATCTGGCATGATAATTTGCATTAAATGATCATATGGTATGTCAATAACCTTTGTGTCTGTAAATTGAGAAGATCGCCTCTGTGGTTTCGCCGATAGAGCGTCCATCGAGAGAAGGAGAGATCTTCTTTGTCAATGGGTACTAAAGATACATAGCATCCATACTAAGAGATATTCAGCTAAGCAAATGTACCACCAAATCCCAGTCTATTAAGATTAACCATAATCCTTAATACATGTACAACAAAAGAAGGATTTTCTAAATATTCACAGAAAGTAGCTGAAACAGGAATTGTTACTAATGATCTCAGTACCTCAAAGATTTTGCTTGAATTTTGTAATCTCAGAGAAAAACAGCTTAAATTAAGACAAAACATGTGATATTTTTAACTTTGTACATTGTACACCGCTATCTCACACATGAAACTCTTAGGGAAAACTTCGTTCCTTGATCCAAGGGGCATTTGTCACCAAACGTGGTGACTATATATTACATTACATTACAACATTCAAGCCGCAGCAGATCTTTCTAAAAGTACTATGGTTGACACGTGGGTGACAAATTTGACGCATCGACGTAAACTCCTATACTGACCTGATCATATGTCCCTGTGTACTACATGGTGTTCAGAGCTACTTTCATAGAGGCCGTCATAAGGGAAAGTCAGGTCACGTGATTGCGTAGGTCACATGAGAGGAAACATTTGATTCATCATTGAAGTATTTATTATGTATACGTGATGTGTTTACGACCGTACGTCTTTCACCCATAGAGAAAACAGATTGTTGGGTGACTCATTGTTTGTTTTAAGCTAAGCATAACAACTTTAGTAAAAGTGTTTCATGGAGAATATTTTATAGCTATAAATACTGACCCGCGAGTAATATATCAAAACATTTAACCTTCCTTAATGTGTACTTTAACAATTGGATGGAGCCTAGTTTTAAGCAGGATGTTCAATGTATGAATCAGTGCAGTCTTCCGGTGCTTCCGACAGGACCTGACATGTTGACATTTCAGGAACACCTTATACTAATTTGGTTATACAACAGAGTTGTCTGCCCTTACCAAAGTGTGAAACACAATGGCCCAATGGATTTAAGCATCCCCTCATGTCTCTTTGAAACATTGGATGCTGGTTTGAATACCAAATCTGCCCCAAGTATGATTTCAGTCTGTTAGCACCTTCCTCTGGTTCATTGTTCCACCACGGTGGAAAACTTCTGTGTCTAATGCTTTCTCAAATTTCTCAAATTGCAAGTATATCTGCTACTGGCGGTAAAGAAATACCGTAAATTATAAATGCGACGTTACAGATTCCGTCAGAGGACTCACTTCACGATATAAACTCTGACCTCGAAAGCAAGATGAAGGTCGAAAACAACAACGATGAGATGTTTGAGCGGCTTCAGAAGGTCGATGAGATTGTCACAAAGATGGAAGAGGGGAAAGAACTGCCCAGTTCAGAAACTGCTGATCCTTCCACACACACCGCTGACATACAACCATCAACTGATGAGACGAAATGTGGATTAGGAAGGCTACGTCTCATGAAGGCAGACAGTTCCAATATTGAGACAATTGATGCAGATAATCCGGGTAAATATTTCAAAGTTAGGGACACAGACTGACAGAGATTATTTACAAAGCCTTTCCTAGCGAAAGCGATATGCATTTCAATGAAACGTTTTCAACGTCATTTTCTACAATTGATAATTGCTCATTGCTCAGTTGTGTGGAAAATAAGTTGAATTTTGAGAGGTTTTACTATTGGAAATGTGATAATCATGTGCACATATTTATGGACATCTTTGTCATCATTATTTTTAACAGAGGCCCAAACAGCCAACCAACACGTGCAAGACATGGAGAAACTAAAGTCCGTTTCATCCCTGAAAAGGTAATTATTTTGAAACAATGACCAAATACTGATGAATGGTGAAGCGTTGAAACTGTATCACGATGGCATGGCGGGTGATCCAATCAGTTGGATCATAGGAAGAGTTCTTCATGCTGGTCAAGTGCTATAAATACTAAATATCTATTGTGACCCAGTACTAGCCCGAATTACACACATTCGTAATATATTCTGTATCAATTGGTTCCAAATATTCTGTGATGTGCCTGTCGTAACGGTGACGGTAATGTTTGTTTACAGCTCATCAAACGAACAGGGAAAAAAGGTCATTTTAATAGATTTCCAGGAACAGCCTTCTAAACGAAAGAGGCAAAGATCATGTAAGTCTAATAAACTTAGATTACGTTTGATAAAACGTACATCATCTGTTTCTATCAATGATGACACGCTTATGTTTTTGTTATACATTTACATTTGATTAAACCAGTATACCATCATCAAAGAGATTGAGGTGGACATGGAAGGTATTGATCGATACATTGCTACGTTCCTTGTATACGATCAGATAGTGCTGCCGATCGAGAGGTAGATATCAACTGCTGTACAGATTTACGGTAGATTGATAAAGCATCTGCGCGAGAGTTGTCTGTATATGTATGTTTAATGAATGCTGCCGATGCTCCAGATGCTTCATACGTTCAGATGCTGCAGCCACTCTATGTAATTAGTGGCTGTAATCTCTGAAGATACGAGGCGCTATGGAGTAGTTAAATGGTTTAAGGCGTTCACGCCGAAGACACGGGTTCGAATCCGCAGAATGTATGAAACCCATTTCTGGTGTCGCGATGTTGCTGGAATATTGCTAAAAGCGGCGAAAAAACTAAACCACACTCACTCTAAAACTAAACTCACTCACTCTCTGTATATATTGACTCACATTTTGTACGTGTTTACGAAACTTTACCGACTTTTTCGTCGCTTTATCTCATGTACAGCGATACACGCAACATCCACTGGTGTGTCAACTCTTCATGTTGTAACATTGGCATGTTTCCTTACGTTCCAGCTATCCCTCCTTCGAAATATGAACAATCAAAGTGGAGAAAACTGCATCTAGACAGATGGAGTGTAGACAAGGAATCGCATAGACACTCAAACCCACAGGATAGTGTAACATGCGATTCTGATAGGAAGAGTAGTGAAGACGTTGCGATGGACGACGGTAGTGACGACTCCGGTACTTGCATGCAGGACATCACCGACGATGTCAGCAAAGTTAACTCGGAGGATATTGACACGGATCTTAGGCATCCTGTCAGTAACAGTGACGCACAAAACACGTGTGGAGAAGGACCTGTGACATTCAGTGATGATGATGATGATGATGATGATGATGATGATGATGATGATGATGAACTTCCGGATGTGGATAGTAAGGAAGAGGAGGATGAGATGGGGGAGGAGAAAAAGGAAGTATGCGACGCAGACTCTGACATGAAGGGTGAGATTCAAGGGCGAAAGTATGCATTAACCCGCTGCTACTGGCGTTCATACTTTTAATTTAATTTAATTTGTAAACAGCACTGTTTTGGGAACACCCGATCCCATTCCCGAACAAGACATGCTTTGGAAACCCTTCATGTAGGGCTGGTAGGATTCCTGGACAGACAATCTGTGCCAGTAGAAAGTGGCAACTTGATGGATCGGGACCTCTGGTTTTGTGATTTGGTAGATTGTGGGTCTTTGTGTAGGACGTAATATGTTATCAGTTATGTTTTGTCTTGTCAAACATCAATTATTTATATCTGGAATATTGCCGTCAGTATAAAACAACAAAGATGCAAAAGAATCCGTCTGTAGTAGAACTAAGTAATTTGTATCTACACATTCCCTCCATTACAAAGTGGCACCATCCGTTGGGTTCCGATACCTTTGCTATAAATGGTGTCAAGTATTAATGTCAGATATACGCAGTTTTGACATTTGTTGTAGACGTGTTTAATTCCTTTGTTTCAGACTTCATGACTGCCAATCACTGTGATGAAAGAGGGCGTACTATCAGCAGCGACTGCGACCCACGGTGTACCCTGATTATCTGCCCCTTGAGCGTTATGAGCAACTGGCAGGTGAGGGTACAAAGCATCCATCAAAATGTTCACTGCATGGTTGAATTTAACGTTGACCGAATGCATGCAAACTGCATTAATACTCTCACATACATACACAAAACTATATATATGGTTTTGAATACTTCAATGCTGTTTTCTTTCTATGGTCCACTGGGCTTCTTCAGTTCACATTACAACTGGTGGATTTCTAGCCACGCAACCCGTGACTGGTCATGTTGGAATAGTGAATACACGACCCCGAACTCAGAAATGTACCTGAAGAAAGTCACATAATGAACGTCAAAGCAGACTCACAATGATACATTCTTATTACAATAAATGTCGTCTGAACTTGTGAAAATCCGGCAATAGGAACGCTTTTAGAGAACAAAAGCAATGGTACAAGAAATCTGTGTGGGGCGTCACTGTGTGTTACTGTGCGGTATTTAAGTTCATTATTAGGTGCCTGTAAAAAAACAGAAGACAAACTACTGTTAATATTATATTTATTGTACTGTATTCAGGGTCAGATTGAAGAACACGCCCATCCAAACGTCCACATTGACGTCCATCTTTACTATGGCAACCAGCGATGTAAGGATGTCAATCTTCTCAAGCAGAAGGATGTAGTTATCACAACGTACGGCATACTGCTGAGTGAGTTTAAGGTAGGTACGCTGACGATACACCCTGCTACTCTCTGCAGATTAATCTGGAATGCATGCATCATAGACGTACCTGCATGATTACTGACATGTCAGGTATCCTGGTGATAAATTATGATATATACTGACGATAATAATTCATTCCGTCATTCCAACTCATCGGAAGGTAGTGAATATATTTCTGACAGCATACGGGTTGTTGCTTCTTTCAGGAGTACCTAACGAAGGGAGCATCCCCTCTGATGACGACCGAGTGGCTACGAGTTGTGCTGGACGAAGGTCACTGCATCCGGAACCCAAAAGCCAAACAAACCAAAGCTGTGCTCACACTTCAGTCACAACGCAAGTGGGTGCTGACAGGTAACGATGACAACCACTGAGGGACTGTTCACTAAGCCCCCCTCCCCCTGCATGTCCTGTACAACTGTACAAATTAATAACACTGCACCCCTTCCCATAATTTTCAACATAAACTTTTAATATTTTCATGTGCAAAATTGCTGACAACCCCCCCCATGTTAATGTGTAAAAACGAAATGATGACTCCCCGCCCTCTTAAAATCATAATCACCCCACTAGCAATAAATCATGAACGGTCTCTATTGATGCGTTTGTTACACAAATGCACCCATCATGTTTTCAGACATCTCAGGGGCGGTGGGGTAGCCTAGTGGTTAAAGCGTTAGCTCGTCACGCCGAAGACCCAGGTTCGATTCCCCACATGGGTACAATGTGTGAAGTCCATTCCTGGTTTCCCCCGCCGTGATTGCTGGAATATTGCTAAAAGCGGCGTAAAACCATACTCACTCACTCACTCACTCACTCAGACATCCCAAGTCACCTGGGTAATGGGATGTACACCACACAAACGACAACATCTCTCTAGCCACCTTTAATGCCATGATAATGTTTCTGGGATTTGCAGCAGTATACACGTACTCAGTTGGTTCACCAAAGTTGTAAGCGTATAAGTTGAACATCATTTCGAGCTTTCCTTCCACATAAGCCTTCTACGCAGTGACAGAACTAAATTACTGTTCAAAACGGAGCTTGCTTCACACTTTCACTCACACTATCATTGTCGTCAGCAGGATGTTCTAAATGTTGACTGTTCTCCGTCCTCTAGGTACACCCATCCAGAACAGGATGCTGGATCTGTGGCCGTTGATCAATTTCCTCAACGTGACGCCTCTCAATGAGAAACACTGGTGGCAAAGTTTGCTGGAAAAAACCATTGCAACGTGGGAAGAGGATAGCCTTCAGGTAGATACTGGGCACTCGTGTTCCAACTGTTGAACCCTTCCATACGCCATACTCTGGATGTTAGTAGTCGTTTGTATCCCGGAATCATTTTAGATGACTCACCTTTTCAGGTTAGCTTGACAGACTATTTTATGTCCACATGAACGATCAATACAATCATGATTGAAAACAGTGCTATAGAATGATATGGCCCTTCTTCGGGTAGATACTCGTGTTCCATCTGATGAACCCTTCCATACTCTGGATGTTAGTAGTTTTAGATGAGACTCTTGTTCAGGTAGTCTTGTTAGACTAGTATTTTATGTCCACATTGTATGAACGATCATGATTAAAACATTGCTATAGAATGATATGATCCTTCTTCAGACGTGTCCAACACCTGATGGGTAACATCGCTATGCGAAGGACAAAGAACACCCTCGTAGATGGAGAGCCCCTTGTGAAGCTGCCCAAGAGAGAAGTGTACATGGAGCGAATCAAGATGTCGGACGAGGAGAGCAGGAAGTACAAGTCCATGGAGGAGCAGGGGAAGATCCAGATCAAGAAGTAAGTGGAACTGAGTGTTATTCCATGTTACTGCTACATTGCTGAGAACACATAGGGATTTAAGTAGTGGTCTTCAGAGCTTCTTGTCCTGTCTAAATTGACGTTCTCCTGACAAAAGAAATCTTTTGTCCCGATTATATATGATTAATATCATACAAAAACAAATAAACATAAATATTTCGTAAAGCCTCCATTGCAATATGAAGCCGCTTCTAATTAACAAGAAGGGTTCCTCAAGGATATGGGCGGTGGGGTAGCCTAGTGGTTAAAGCGTTGGCTCGTCATGCCGAAGACCCGGGTTCGAATCCTCCACATGGGTACATTGTGTGAAGCCCATTTCTGGTGTCCCCCGCCGTGATGTTGCTGGAATATTGCTAAAAGCGGCGTAAAACCAAACTCAGTCAGTCAGTCAGTCCTCAAGGATATAATGGATATTGTAAGTAATTAAAAGAGTATTATTCATCATGACTAGTGAAATGATCCAACTTAACAATACACAGAAGAAGAAGCAGTAGGATTGAAACAAATCAAATATAGTTGAAAATGCATACAATGGCGGGATTTGCATAGGGACTACAGTTTCAAAACTGATCCAACTTTATATCGGAATTGAAAAGCCCATTCCTGGTGTCCCCCGCCATGATATTGCTGGAATTTTGCCCAAATCGACGTAAAGCTAAACTCACTGACTTGTATCGGAGTACAGAGGTAATCACGACTTGGTTCTGTTTCCCAGATATGTTCGGAACAACATGCTGCTGAAGAAGTATATCCTGGTGCTGGAGATCATGCTCCGGCTGCGACAGATGTGTTGCCATAGCTTCTTGCTGCCTGACAAATCTGATTGCATACCTAGTGAAGACTCGGGTATGTGCTACGACTTTACATTTATCAGTATCTATGTGATGTCCACTATAACATCATGTTACCAATTACCGTGGTGTATGTGTATGTAAAAATATCTTTATGAATTGTATTCCAAAGAAAGTATGCATACGGTATGCCAAATATCAGCTTGGATGCATTTAAATACTATTCCATTTATTTGCATACCGTGCGATTGGATCATGCTCCTGTGGTCCTACACTTTACCTGTAAACAAAACAGTTCAGTTCTTCTCAGTAGTCTTTGTTATTTTCTAGAGTAACAATCATTGTAATCAGAGTTCCCTAGTTAGTGAGGGTTAAAACGTGGAAATCAGCCTTCTTAAACTTGTCAAATATCTGTCCCGAAATATGGCTGGTTTAAGTTTTACTATGGGATGGTGATCGTTTTCAGATTCCGAAGAGGAAGACTTCGAAAAGAAGCGTGAGACTCTGGTTAACAGGCTGAAGGTCATCAGCGAGTCAGAGGAAGAGTGCTCTGTGTGTGTCGACGTCCTGAAGACTCCTGTGATACTACCATGTGCACATTACTTCTGTCACACATGTATCCTCAACGCCATCAAACACATGGAACAAGCAGAGAAGGTACGCATCTTTTAACATGGATGTCAGATAGTCCTTCAGACCACAATATACACACTGTATCAATATCAAAATCACACAGTCTCCTCACATATGCTCTGTTGTAGCCATACTTGTTCCTTCCATTCTGGGCATAACCTGGTTACTATATTTTTTTTTCGAGTCATGGACAGTTTGAGGGTCCTCGACATTAAACTGGGGGTTCTGGGGTCAACACTGTACAAACAGCAAATATACTACAAAGTGTGTGTGCAACCTTCCTTATGCATATTGGAGAGAATTACTTTCTTTGGATCGATACTCAGGATATGAGAAAGGAAAGTTTAACATCTACTGTCCGAACGTTGGTTGTATTTCTCAAACTCTCCAAAGACTGTTTGTTGGTAGATGCCTTCTTCCAGCCGAAATCAAAATGGGGTCAACGTTAATTGTTTTCAAAGCAATCAAGGATGCCAAAGTGGCATCCCATAGTATTATCAACTGTGCGTAGCGTGTGAGGGATGACATCATGCAAGAACAATTGAATGCTGAGGTCAAGTCAGCATTCCGCCTGACTGATACGACCTTTTTCTAAACGCTGTTCGCTCACCTGTTCGCTGTTTATCAGTGATTCATTAACAGGTGGATATAATACAGTTGGAATCGTACAATGGACTGTTCCAGCAGGTAGTTCTTATCAGATAATGATTGGGGGAATATGTTTTAGCTTTTGCTATTATCATCAGAACAGAAGTATCAGATGACTCACACGCACATGTGTCAGTAAATCTGTGTCAGCCATACCGATGTGTGTCCAGAAGGTCTCACAATGTATACTTTTTGCGTGTATTCTTTTCATCTATGGTGTAAAAACGTTCCTCATCGACATTTCTACTTTGTTGTTATTCCAGGGTTCCGCTACCTGCCCCTTGTGTCGAGCACCGATATCAGAGGACCAGATAATAGACCAACCAAAGGAACCCGAACCACAGATCTACGGCGACTGGAAGTCAAGTACAAAGGTAATATTCAATATCATAACGATTAAACTTTACACCGCAACCATGATTTTCCAGGTTAATTAGTTGTCAGTTGTCAACTGAGCATCATGACAACCACATACCAAGATGATTATCAATGAAACATAAAGTGATAAGAGTTATTTGTCTCATGTCTGTCTACATGTCCTGGTTCAGGTGGATGCCCTGATGAGTGCCCTGGTGAAAATGAGAAGCACCGATCCATCTGAAAAGAGTCTGGTAGTCTCACAGTTCACCTCTTTCCTGACTCTCATGGAAACACCACTCAGGTGAGATCTTGCTCAACAAGCATTACTTAGATACCAGGACCAACAAGTACCACTATATCTAATCCAAAATTTCAAATGGGAAATATAGCTTACAATGAGTCCACCCAGTACTACATTGTCCCCCGCCGCAGACAAAAGTCGATTTGGGTGACCTTGACCTTATTTTCAAGGTCACCACGACACTTTGACCACTTTTCAAACTCTTGTTAACGCGATATGTCATGGGCTGTTGTACCCAATGTCTTCAAATTCGGTGGGAGCCTACATTGGGGGATTGCAGACACCAGTCGATTTGGGTGACCTTGACCTTATCTTCAAGGTAACCACGACACTTTGACCACTTTTCAAACTTATGTAAACGCGATATCTCATAAAACATTGCACTCAGTGTCTTCAGTTATGTCGACAGCCCACATTTGGTGATTTTGCAGACACCGGTCATTTCAGGCATCTTGTATGTGACCAAAAAAATAAAAAGTAGTAAATATTTTAAAAATATTTCATTCTTCTTTAGCGCCGGGGGACATTGCCATATTAGTGGCAAACACTTGCTTTGCCTGGTCCGATTAACGGAACAGATTTGTCTCTTGTGGTGCTTAGATATCACATATAGACTATTAGAAAATGCTATTGATTGTTCTTTAATTTCACCTGCAGGGAGCTCAAGTTCAAATTCGTGAGACTGATGGTAAAATGTCTGCCTACTGCAGCGCATGGAAGCTGTCAAGAAGTTCTCTGATCCCGAGCCTGGGTCGCCCACCATCTTCCTCATCTCCTCTCCGTGTTGTGGAGGCGGGCCTCAACCTGACTGCTGCGTCCAGGGTGTTTCTCATGGAGCCGGTGGGTAGCCAGACTTCAGCCAGTTCTCACCTTAGATCACGTATAGACAAGGAGAAGAGCAATCAGATGGTTTGGAGTAGTTGAACCAACAGGCTAAGCATAACTGATAGAACTGTTTTAATTGCACAATGATGTTCAATCTAAAGGAAAAATCAATATAAACGTAACACACTCATGACACCGATCCTTACATCATATCCCAAATAATGTATCTATAATATACAAAGGCCATATGGTTTTCATCAATGTAATGTCTGCAAATAGTAAGTAATCTCAAGTAAGAAACCTTGCTTGAGAGTACTCAATTCTTGTTTTAATATCTTCTTCTCAATATAATATCAGCAGCCGGGTACCCTTAATGGTTAAAGCGTTGGCTCGTCAAGTGCCGGATGACTCACTTTCGAT